GACTGGTGCGTGACTGAAGCTGAAGTATTAGTTTGTAGGAGCTTGTTTTTTAACTGTTCAAAACTCCCAAGTTTACACATAATATTCTTTTTTATTACACGTGGCATCTGATGCTTCAGACAAACCTCGATTGGGCTAATGTTGTTCAGTGACTTTCACTACCTGAACTTCGGTTTTGGTTTTGCCTTTGCACGGTTATATGAATTTGCTTAATTAGTTGAAAACTCAGTGGAGTTAGATTTTGGTGTTGCCGTTGTTTGTCGAGTAAATGACTTGGTTAATGTCTATGTCATCTTTGTTCTTGTACCTCTTGCATTTACTGTCATATGCAGGAAAATGAGTTAATTAATGCAAGACTTTTGTTCTTAAGCCTCTCACTGTCTGAAACTGTCTCATCAAGACTCCACAAAAGGGGTCTACTGATGTGCTCGTATTGTAATTATATCTGCCTAATCTTGAATAAATTGTTACTTCTCAAGTTTTGATGGCACAAAAATATGTTTAAGTTGTGTTCAGAGTGGAAACCCTGGGGCATTCCCGATGACTATGATTGTGAAGTTATTGAGAATGATGCCCCGGTCCCGAAGCACATTCCCCTGCATCGACCTGGTCCCCTCCCTGAGGAGTTCTACAAGACGTTGGAGCTTGTTAACACTGGAACTTTAGAGACCATCGTTTCACGCCCGAAAAAGGACGAGCCAACTATCACTGTCACATCCGGTGAATCACAGTCAAAATAGTTCGCCTTCTTCTGGTTTCTTGTTTATGCTATTCGAAGAAATTTCTATTTGGTTGATTTATCGGAGCTGTTCGATTGTACAACAAAAGCTTTAGCTTTTGGTAATAATCCCACGTTGGTGTGAAACTGATTTTATCCATTTTTATTTTAATAATTTATGCATTAAGATTGAATTACTGGGGTGTAATTTTTGTAAAATATTTTCTTTTATAAAGACTAGTTTCTGCCCGTACAATGTACGGGATTGGTTATTTTGTAGGCATTGTTAGCATGTTTAATGTGTTGAATTTTTCTCTAGTGATCTTATAGTTTCTCCTCTCTCTTGTACTTCTTTTAATATATCTTTGCAAAGTTGCACAATTTGGATTTAATCATAGAAATATATTCATTATTCTATGAATTTATAGTTAACCACAAAGTTAAAGTATGCCAAGAAGAATCAGTAAATGACTCAATGTAAAGGATATTTGTTTGCCTTTGAGAAGTGAAAATAAAACAATAACCAAAAAAAGAAGATTACAGACAGTTTAAGCATCAATTTAATAGCATATAGATGATTACGAACCATTATACATCGAAATTTGTTAGCACTAATATTTTAAGATTCAGTATTAGCATTAATTCCATCGAAGAAGAAAAATATGCTGAATTTTTATTGACCGTGCTTTCAAGTATTAAGCACGCCTCGGGAATTACCTGTCCACCAAATCTATCCACCTCCAAGCTGATTTTTGATATAAATTTCGTAGTCTTTCCCATTTTCGCTTTTTTCCTCATCTCAATGTAACGTTTTTCTTGGCTAATAATTGGATCTTCCATTAGAACAAGTTTTGATTTGTTCTTAACTCCTATAGTATCAAGAAATGCATTGGAATCCCTTTCTTTATCCTTGTAAAATAACTTCTGACCATGGTAGTGCAATCCCATTGGCTCTGCTAACATTTTCTTCAACTCCCCTGCATTCAAGTTAATTGATTCGAAATTAACAATAACTAACCGAGTCCTAATTCAGAAATCATGTTCACACTACTATCAAGTATGGTAATATCTAATGCTAGTCAAGAATGAAGGAAATTAGAAGCAATAACTATTGAATGTTGCATAAGTATTGAAAGAGGAATTCATTGTTGAAAATTACCAAAGGTGAAAGGTAGCTTGAGAACTGATATGAATTTGATGGTAAATCGATCCGTATTTGACCCGAACCTGAATTGTTGGTGGTGGCGCCTAGTTTTCGTCAGAGTCAGTACGCTTCTGTACCAGCATCCACCAGGCCTAAGTTTCCAAGCAACATTACTTCCGCAACCATTCGTCGGTGGCGCCCCATTACTTTTAGTCTTCATTCGCATCATTTTCAACAACAAAAATACCCAACTGGAACTGCTGATGATAATTTGAATTCTGCAATTAAAGATCAAAAAGAAACTCACATAAGAGAATCATCTACAATTTACAACTGTTGTTGGAAACATAATTACAGTGTTGAAAGGACAGGCAAGACCCACATTCACTCCTACCAATTCTTTCCGATAGCAACTCCCGTCTCTCAATTCTAACATTTTCCCTTAATCCCTTTATACTATTCTCGAAACACTCACTCTGACTGATTATGTGTCTGTATTTTTATACAAGAAAGCTGAATTTCGCAGTGTCTGTATATATATGTACCATAGTATATGTATTGTATATATATTTGTACCGACCTCGTAGAGAACTAAGGGAAGAAAAATTGTGGCACGGCAAGGATCGAAAAGGATATCTTTTCTTTCATTA